GCCCACCCCCTCCACGGGCCCCGAGGCTGGGAGGAACGTGGCTGCCCTCATCCAGGCTTGTCTGGGTGCTGGGAACCCCCCCCCTCCTTCCCTTCTCCTCTCTGGGAAATGGGGTTCTCCTCCCTGGGGAGCATCACCTCCAGCATCCCTTCCTCTGCAGCCTCCTCCCCGCTGCTGCTGTTATGGGGGGGTCTTCATCGCTTGTGGGGGACAAATTTCCCCCCCCTTGGCAGTACCTGGGGAGCACAGGGATTTTGCCCCATGGGAAGGTGAAGGGGGGGGATGTCCCCTTGATGGGGACATGCAGGATCAGGGGGGACCAGGCAGCAAGGGGCTGTTGGGTGTAGGGTCATGTCCTTCACTAGGATCAGCCCCCCCCTGCCAAAGGCTCAGCACTGCTGGTAGAAGCTGCCACGGATCTTAAATCCTTCTTATTTAAGAAGGTATTTGGTAGCTGAGGAGCGAGCAAAGTGGGGATTGTGGGTTTGGGGCTCTGGGTGTTGGGTTTCAGCCCAGCAGCAGATCTCGCTCCAGCAGCCCCGACGTGCTGGGCTGGCCAAGCCCGGGTAGTGGCTCAGGAAAACATCCTTCAGCAGAGCTGGTGGCCGGGGGGGGGGGTCACAGTGGGGCAAGCAGTCTGTGCTCTGGGCATCCATCCACCGAGCCCCAGAGATGCTGCCGGGGGGGGGGATCTGAGCTGGGCCAGCCCCAGGGCTGTGCTGGGGCCACCACGGCTGGAGGGGGCATTATCTCGGGTGTGAAACACAAAATGAGTGTCTGGGAGGTGTTTGGTGGTTGAAGAGCCAAAGCTGGGTGCTTTCCCCCAAAACTCTGGTTTCCCACCCTAGTGCTGGCAGTAGTGGGGGCTCTCGGGTGGGCTGGTGCCCCCCCTCCTGCCCTAACACCCACGTCAGGGATTTTTATCTGTTGCTTCCCCTCAGTCCTGGGTTGAAGATACCTCTTTTAGAAGAGCTTTGGGCTCCTGTGAGTTGAAGGCTCTCCTGAATAATGGGAGCTATTTTTTCCAGCTTAGAGGGGGGGATTGCTGGCTGCCTCTCCCTGCCACTCGCTGGAGCCAGAGTGTGATTTTGATTTACAAACAGTTTAATCTGAGGAATGCAGTGAAATTGGCAGGAAAGGCAAAGCGAGCGCGCTGCCCACCGCTGCAGCCCCCCGGGGAGACCCAGAGCTCCAAGAGTATTCACTGCCCTCAGACACTGCTGGGGACACCGTGGTCACCCACCAGCTCAATGCCACTTGGTGCCACCTCAGTGCCCACAGGTCCAGGGCACTGGAGAAGGGTGCATGGGAAGCCAAAACCCCAGGATGTGGTTTTTTTTTGGGGGGGGGCACACATCCTGTTTTATCCAAGACCTGTTTTCCATTTCTCCTTTCTGCCCTTCTCCCACCCCTCCTGCTTCCAGCCCGTTCTTCCTCCTCAGCTCCCGTTATTTGAAGTTCCCTTCCCGACGTGTGTCCCAAAACACAGCGTTTCACCCCAGCACCCGGTAAAACCCTCCTGCCTGCTCTGAGCCCTGCTCAGCCTGGCAGAGCCGGGCGCTGGGTCCATGCTCTTGTGTTTTTTTAACCTCCCATCTATTTTATTTTTCGCCGGCGAGGGCGGGTGCAGGACAGGGACCGTCTGTGCCCCCTCCACCCTGTGGGTCCCCCCCCGCACAGAAAGCACCTCCTGTTCCCCAGCAGCCGGAGGTGCCTTTGCCCTCAAGCCTCTGGCTTGAATCATCCCTTGTTTACTGCTGCAGGAGAGGAAAATCAAAGTTTGGCCAAAGCACCATCAGGCGGGATTTTATTTGTGGCTTCGATTGGTGTTGCTGCAAGGGGGGGGGGTGGATGCTCGACCCTCCCCCCCATCCCTGGTGCTGGGCTCCCAGTCCTGTGCCCCCCACAGAAGGCTGGCAGCCTGGGGACCGGGCAGGAGCCGGTTGCTGGCTCCGGCAGCGTCCCGGTGGGGCCACCGGCCTCTCTCACGGCTGCAGCCCGCGAGGGCTGGAGGGAGGCGCAGACAGAGCAGATATTTATTTTCCTCCTCCTGCAGAAAAGTTCAGCCAGAGGCTGGGGAGCCCTTTAATTAAGTGGCCAATTCCCGCAGTCCTGGGGAGACGACCAGCCCGGCTCTTCATCTTCTCTGGCTTTATGGAGGGAGGTGGGGATGGCCTGGAGCTCCGTCCGGCGGTGCTGTGCCCTGGCCTTGGGGGACAGTGGCTCATGGAATGGTGGCTCTCAGCTGGAAGCAGCCACAAGCTCTTCTCTTCCCCACTTGGCACAGGGTGAGCATGCCTTGCCGTGTCTCTGCACCCACTCTGGTCAGCCTCAGTGGCTTTGTCCCTCCTGCCCATGCCAGGAGTCCGGGACCCCAGGAGACCTCCTCCTCCAGGTCCTCTGCTGAGTTTTGGCAGCTGCAGCACGTTCTTCAAGACAAGCCTTTGTTTCTTGCTCTTTTATCATCCCTTCCTCTCCCTGGAGCCTCTGTCTCCTTCTTTCCAGCCATCTCTTTTCTGCATCTCCTTTTCCATCTCCATCCTCTTGGACCGTGCATCTCTTAGCATCACTTCTTCCCAGCCAGGAGGCCACCCCGTGTCCATCTGGGGACGAAATTCCTGCAGTGACAAGGGACCAGGCACGTGTTTCTCCCCTGGCAGAGCCCCATGGGGAAGGTTTGAGGGGGGGTTAACGTGCTGTTCTCCCCCCCCAGGCCAGCCCCAGGTGCGAGCAGCCCCGCAGCCCCCCGGCCCCTGCACCCACCTCCTGCAGAACGGCGCCGGGCGGGCGCCCGATCCTGGCGGTGCCAACGGGGAGGCGGGGAACGGGGTCTTCCGCCCCCTCCCCAGCACCCAGAAACCCCACCGAAAGCTGCAGTCGCATCACTCCATCAACAGCCAGAGCAGCAAGAAGAGCAAGGGGAGCTCCAAGTCGGCCTCTTCCCACATCCCTATTGAGGCGCAGGAAGGTACCGGCTGTTCCCAGGGGGTCCCTTTCCAGCCCAGCATCCCTTGTGGGGGGGGTCTCCCATGTAACATCCTTCCAGCCCATTGGGACCGCTGGACCTGGGTGCCAGCTGAGCTCCCTTTTTGCAGGGTGGGTGCTGAGCAGGGGGGTTACCTCGTGTCCTCCAAAATTGGTCTCTCTTGGGGTCTGGGCATGTCCCAGGCAGCTGGGCATATCCTTGGGTGCTGAGGGAGGCCCCTGGCTCCCAGTCCCTGGCTCCCAGTCCATCTTCCCATCCCTTCCATTAATTCCTGAGGGAGGATTTCCACCCTGATGGGGCTGAGCATCCTTCTGCCAGGTGCCCTCACCCAGCTTGTCCCCGCTTTGCCCACTCTCTGGCCGTCCCTCCGCAGACTGCTGCGTCCACTGCATCCTCTCCTGCCTCTTCTGCGAGTTCCTGACCCTCTGCAACATCGTGCTGGACTGTGCCACCTGCGGCTCCTGCACCTCCGAGGACTCCTGCATCTGCTGCTGCTGCTGCAACTCGGGCGAGTGCGCGGACTGCGACCTGCCCTGCGACATGGACTGCGGCATCATCGATGCCTGCTGCGAGTCTGCCGACTGCCTGGAGATCTGCATGGAGTGCTGCGGGCTCTGCTTCTCCTCCTGAGGGGCCACATTTGGGGCGGGGTGGGGGGGGACACCAGCAGTGCATCCCCCCCCACAAGGCTCTCGATCCGGCCGGTCCCTGAGGTGGGTGTGAAACCCCAAAAGACAGAGCCTGGTGAAGGAGGAGAGCAATATCCACACCCCCTCCCCATTGCAAACTCATCCTCGGAGCCAGTGAGCCGGGCTTGGATCCCGCTTAGGGAAGGGTGAATCCATAGGGCCGTGGGGGGCTGCGGGGGTGGCCGGCATCCTGTCACGCTCTACCTCTTCCCAGTTGCACACACCCCCCCCCATTGCAAACTCATCCTTGGAGCCAGTGAGCCGGGCTTGGATCCCGCCTGGGGAAGGGTGAATCCATAGGGCTGTGGGGGCTGCGGGGGTGGCCGGCATCCCGTCACGCTCTACCTCTTCCCCACACTGGGCTGGTTCACCGAGGACCACGGGAGCCTCCTGCCACCTGAGCCGAGAGCAGGAGTGACCCCCCCTGTGCCCCACAGAGCCCCACGGGTGCCACCCCGGCATCCCTGCCTTGGGGACAGCCACTGCCACCACCGGGGCTGCCCCAGGACTGTGGCATACAGAGGGGTGACACAGAGCATCCTTCACCCCCATCCCTCGGGACCCCTCCAAGGCTGGCGCAGTACAGAGCCCCCCCACCCCGGGCTGTGGGTCACATCCTGCAGCCCCTTCCCCTCCTCGGTGCTGAGACCGGCAGCCAAGTGCAATACATGCAGCCTGTCCCCGTTTCACCAGCTGGGAGGAAGCTTTTCCTTCACTGGTCCCTGCAGGGGGGGGTTGGAACTGGGGGCCAGGGCATTTGGGGAGAGCCCGGAGCCGTCCCAAGCTGTTCCTGACCCCACTTATGTCCCAGGGGGTGGTGGGACAGGGTGGTTTTGAGTGATGCCAAATGACCCCCAGCAGTTGTTGGCCCCATCCCGCCACCCCGGGGACAGGGCTGGTGGCTGGGTGAGGGTGGGAGATGCCCCATCAAAGGGCTGGGGAGACGGGGAGGGAAGTGTCACAGTATTTTTTTTTTTTAATTTTTTTTTTGTCCCTTTCGTTTGTTACTGTAAATAAAGGTCTTTCTTCATTTCTGAGTGATGGCAGCCCCATCACGTGCTCCGCGGGGCGCTCCCAGGGGACTCACAGCCCAAATCCCTCTGCCTGCACCCCGTGTCCTGTTCCCAGCTGCAGGCACGGGGTGCAGCGGCTGCAGGGCTCCTTTGGCGTGCTGTGGGTCACATCCTGCAGCCCCTTCCCCTCCTCGGTGCTGAGACCGGCAGCCAAGTGCAATACATGCAGCCTGTCCCCGTTTCACCAGCTGGGAGGAAGCTTTTCCTTCACTGGTCCCTGCAGGGGGGGGTTGGAACTGGGGGCCAGGGCATTTGGGGAGAGCCCGGAGCCGTCCCAAGCTGTTCCTGACCCCACTTATGTCCCAGGGGGTGGTGGGACAGGGTGGTTTTGAGTGATGCCAAATGACCCCCAGCAGTTGTTGGCCCCATCCCGCCACCCCGGGGACAGGGCTGGTGGCTGGGTGAGGGTGGGAGATGCCCCATCAAAGGGCTGGGGAGACGGGGAGGGAAGTGTCACAGTATTTTTTTTTTTTAATTTTTTTTTTGTCCCTTTCGTTTGTTACTGTAAATAAAGGTCTTTCTTCATTTCTGAGTGACGGCAGCCCCATCATGTGCTCCACAGGGTGCTCCCAGGGGACTCACAGCCACACTGTGTCCCATATCCCTCTGCCTGCACCCCGTGTCCTGTTCTCAGCTTCAGGCACGGGGTGCAGCCGCTGCAGGGCTCCTTTGGCGCTGGGGACACGGGACAGACAGCTCTGTGACAGCCCCAGGGTGCTCCAGCTTCTGTTCTTGTGCTGGGAGGGGAAATGGGAGAGAAATCCCTGTCCTTTGCTCTGCAGAACAAGTCAGGGTCCAGGTGTCTGTGTCACCAGCCCCCTGCCCTGCCATGGGACAAACCCTGCCCCTCTGGCAGCTCTGTCCCCTGCCCAGGGACCCACGAGCTGCTCCATCTGCCCCAAGGACACGACTTCCCTCAAGGAGAAAATAAATGATTCAAGGTACCCCCGCAGCACTGGGGTGGGCACAGGGGCTGGCGTGAGGCTGTGGGAGCTGGCAGCCCTCCCCATCCTGGTGGCCTGGGTGCTCCTCCTGCTGCCAGCCATGGGGCCACCAGCCATGCCATGCCATGCCATGCCACCCCACACTGTGCCACACCACACCAGGCTGTGCAGGTAAGAGACCATCACCACCACCCCCCAAGTCTCCCTGCCCCTCGGGGGGCTCGGCTGTCCTGGCCAGGCTGCTGCCTGGGCTGAAGTTGAAGGAGGGAGGGAGGGAAAAATGCTTAAAAAAATCGAGGCCAAATGGGTCAGTTGGTCATGGCGACACAGGCTGGTTTGGGATCTGGGCTGCCTGCCCTCCGGCGCTGCCGCTCAGCCGTGAAACCTATTTTTAGTGGTGAGCTGAAGGCAGTCGGAGCCCGGCGCAAGTGCATGGAGGGGAAGAGGATGGTACAGGCAGCCTTCCTCCACCCCACGCACGGTGGGGAGGACTCGGAGCCCGGCGCAAGTGCATGGAGGGGAAGAGGATGGTACAGGCAGCCTTCCTCCACCCCACGCACGGCGGGGAGGACTCGGGGTGGTGGATGGGGGCTTGTAGCCCTTATCCTGGCACAGCTTTCTCAGGCTGAGAATGGGAGGGGGGATCCCAGGGGGGGATGCACATCGTTACCCACCCCGGGACGAACGGGAGCGGGGCCCCATCCGGCACCCGGTGGGAGCTTTTCCACAGGCTCTGGCTGAGGCTCAGCTCCAAACCCTTTGCATCCTTGGCAGGGAGGGACGGAGGCGCTGGCCTTCCCCAGCCTGGCCTCACTTGTGGTGCTAATTAGGAAGGTTGGAGCTGGCAGGGCTGCACTCCCTGCCAGCCGCAGTAACGAGCGCTGCTGGAGCTGCTTAATGGGGAACAGATTCCCCCAGTGCAGGAGGGCCCTGCGGGCTGGCCGTGCCATGCGTGCTTGTGTCCTGGTGTGGGAAGGGGGTGGCACACCCCCCAGGCTCCCTCACCTTCTCCTCCCCTTTGCTCCAGCATGAAATGCCCTTTGAAGGCTGCTCCCGAGGGTCCGGGTCCCAGTAGAGCAGCTTTGTCCACCCACCACGGCTTGAAACTCATGGGCCAGGCAGAGCAGGGGGTGGGGAGCAGAGCCAGGCTCCTCGTAGAGCATGATGTACTGCTGAATGTATGTGATACTCACGCCTACAAATGTACTTCAGCCATGGCTGCCTTCAAAAAAAAATGCAAATAAAATACCCAAAAGCACCGCTCAGCCCTGCAAAGTGATGCTCTGCAAACCCACCCTCAGAGAGGTCCCACCTTCTCCACCGCCTCTTCAGGGCTGGCCATTGGAAGGGACAAAGCTAGATTTTTTCAGTCCCTACCCCAAGCTTGAGGCACGTTGGCTGCCCTGAACAGAGCTGGCTGCTCTGCTCGTGTCCTGGGCGCTCCTGAAAATCCCAAGGATGGTTCTGGGATGTGGGAATGAGGGTCCAGAGCAGGGAATGAGCAACCCAAGCCTCTGGAAAGGGCTCAAAAAGCAAAGTTCAAGCCACCTTCTGGATACAAGCTGATGCTGGCCATCCACCTTGCAACCCACAGGGGAAGGCAAGAGTTAAACCCTCCTGCCTGGGAATTAATTAACAACAGATGTGCTCAGTTTTAACTAATTACTCTCCTGCCAGCACTTGGTTTTTACGGTTCCCTCGAAAGCCTCTCAGAGCTGGGAGCCACCACACCACAGATGCTGGCCCCGCAGGCTGGGCCGTGCTGGGCACCCAGGGCTCCCCTGCCCTCCTTCCCCGGCCCCTCACCCCGTGCCTCGAGTGAAGCAATTCAATGAAATGGGCTAAAATTCATGAAATAGTCCAGTCGCCTAAAATAGCATTACTCTGTTGCTGTTTTTAGAGCAGTTTAGTGGCAGGGTCCCCCCAGGAGTGACGTCCACCTCCCCGGGGTGGGCAGAGCATCATCCCAGCTGGTGCTGCTGGTCCAATACTCTCTTGCTGGCCATTTATTGTGGATTGGGCCTTGGGTGTATTAATGAGGGGAGCTCATTGTCTAATTGCCAATAGATTGGCAGGACCCTGCGTTCCCAGGGCTGCGTCTGTGCTGCCGGGCTCCCATGCTGAGCTGTCTAGAGATGCAGCCAGTGTATATCAAAACATACAAGACAAGGCTTGGAAACTATGCAGAAGCCATGGCAGGCAGGTGAGAAAGCCGCCTGGTTCAGGGCTGGCTCACCCTGTCACCCTGGGGTTCCTGGGCACCCTCTTTTCTCCGCGCGCTACGGGCGGATGCTGTACGGGATGAGCCCCCACATCCCAGCAGCTCTGCTCCTCCGGTGCTTTCAGCCGCCAGAGCTATTTCTGTCCACAATCACGATCAATAAAGCAAGTGAGAGGATTTTTATTTTCCACTCCAAATACTTTCTTCATCCTGTTTCCTCCCAGTTCACACGGCGGACTGGGGCGCGCTCCAGCAAGGAGGCCCATGAAGCCATCTCCTCCTCCTCCTCCTCACTGCTGATGCTGTCCTCAGCTCCTGCCCCTGCCCCAGCTCCTGCCCCAGCCCGATGCCCCCCCAATGGTCCCTTCTAATCCTCTGCAACCCAAAGGGGCAGGTTTTGCTGGGGAAGGGGGCGGGGGGATGAGAGAAAGGCATTGCACATGTGCGTGCCTGCACACACACACACTCTCTCACACACGCAAGAAAACACTCTCAGAGCCAAAGGGGAAAAAATAAAACTAGGTCTTTGGAAGACACAGCGGCTCATGTAATCCCAGGTTCTGCTGGGCTGCCTCCGCACAGCGCGGCGATGGGGGGACGGGCCGAGGGGAGACGACTGCAGTCTATTAAACTTCCTTTGAGAACCTGCCAGACTGACAACAGCTGGAAGGAATTAACATTTCAGGTCCACCAGCTCCTCTCCTCGCTTTCACCCTTCCCCAAAAACCAGCTTGAGGCCACGGGCCCAGCAGCATCACTTTTTCCCCCCTCCTTGGCGTCCGACAGTATCTGGTCCGAGCTGATTTCTTCTTTGATCCTGAACCTGCCAGAAGCGTGAGCATCTGCTGGACGAAAAAAATCCCAGTGCCTGTGCCTGCACAAGCACCCAGTTTGGATCCCGTGTGTCTTAGGGGTTTGGGACCAAGGTGGGTTGTCACAACGGTACTGAAAGGTGGCTTCAAGCCGTTTTGTG